GTCACTCTCGAGGGTGGTTTGATGGGACGTCAATAAAAATCTTTTCACTGTTAATGATCAACGCTCGGAAAATTTGAGATTTTAATATAAGTATTTTGTTGACTTATTCCAAAAATTTGTTGTTAAATCTCATTAGATTATTATAATATAAAAAGTTTTTCGACGTTTCTTCATTTTATTTTATACTGTATTTCAACAATTCAATGTTACAAAGTCAAGTAACTATGCTGAAGTACTAAACTTCTCCATTCCGTACAAAGAAATTGCTATTAGAGTGAAGTACTCGCTTTCAAAAAGTCACCATAATTTAGCAAATAATGTTCAATTGTTGCTTTATGCTATTAAAACCTACGGCTTTATGAAAGAAAAATCTTCTTATAGAGTAAGCACTGAACTGCTTGTCATGAAATCGTTTTTATTATGACGCTGAACTAACAGTGGCTAGACACATTAATTTGTATAACAATAAAGACGCGACAATCTTAAAACCGGCTTAGTTTTATACGACTTTAAAATATGTATGAATAGTTTTATTATTGCAATGATATATTCTACAATAAGCCTAATAAAACCAATTCCAAGCTCAGTGAATTTAAAATTTCTTTATTATTCTGAAATGTATCACACGAAGCATAATAAAAAATATAAACTTAAGAAATACTACGTTAAGCTGAAGATGAAAATTTGTTATTTGAATTTCCTTTGTAGACATAAATTATACTTTCAAATTACAGCTTTCTTAAACAGCACCTAAAAGCAACCGAATATTAAATAAATATTTTAGCAACTGTAACCGTTCTGCAGTATTTGCACTTTTCACCATACTATTACGACGTACTACAGCGAGGGTCCTTACGGGGATTTTATGATGGAACCGACAGTTTTATAGCTGCAAGCTTGGAGTGTTCTCGTTATATATGAGAAATCCTTAACTTCTTTCGCATCTCGAAATGTTTATAAGAAGAAACAAATAAACCCCATAGACAGATACGTTTCTTTAATGTTTTTTTAATACTGAGATAATGTTCTATCAATATAATTAATAAAAAATATGCGATTATATTTTAATTGATAAATCTTTATTGTCAATAAAATACTATAAAGACGGTGTTTATATTTCATATAAATGATATATTTGAATTTTCTTTGTGTGTAGACTTCGTGATATATAACTGTTAGAACTTTTGCCGCACTGTATATACACAGAAAATCTTTTAAGTCGCAACATTCGCCGCAGAGGGATAATTCCATGTCACGATTAGAGTGTCTGCCAGATTGAGTCAGTTTGAGTAGTCCCAAATGACAAATGAGAAGATGTCGAAACTAACTTGCTTCTTTGTACGTTACAGAAGACTGTTGTGTATTAAATGGGTGGGTTTTGTGACTTTTGTATTCAGAATTCACAATATAATAAATAACTCACTATACTCTTATACAAAAGATAGTATGTATATATTTAGTGGAAGGCTTATTCCGATTTTAATGAAAAGAAATTGTAAAGATATTTTAATATTAATATTAATTTAATGCGTCACTGTTAACTGACTTCAAAACGACATATAAAACTATTTAGATTTAGTAAATATGTATCTAAATTCAATTTGTCGAAGTTATAAAGCACAAATAATTATACCCTCCTTTGGTTTGGTCCCTTTAAGGGTTGGGTTATCTTAAAGAGCCACTCCAAAAGAAAATCCTGGGATAAATTCCGAGGCTGAGATAAGAAGAAAAATACGATACAGAACTTTTATCCCCACTTACACTAATCCTGGTTTTTCTCTTTTTTATTCAAATAACATTGATTGAAACGAACGAAATAGGAGTGGAGAGAATTCAATTAATTTGGTCTCCGTTTGAAAAGTTTTCAGCCCCTCAGATATAGAGGTGTTTGAATAGGCGGAATGTTCGTCCTTTATACAGTTTACACTTACTTTTTTTGTTAAATAACCTAACGTTTGATTGCCATCACTTAACCCATTTGTTTCGAGTGCTAAATAAAAAAAAGAAAAATGATTCAATATAATACAAAAAGTCTGATAAGGAGTGTTAAATAAATTATATCTCTTAGGAAATTAATCAGAAATATATGTTTGAAAATCTCTTATCATATTTTTTTTGTTGATAAATGCATGAAAGTTTTCAAATCCAATGAGGCGGCAAGTGATAAGGTGGTTCTAGGGCCGGGGGACCTCCGTACGTTGCCATGGCGACCGGAGTCTTGAATTAGTTAAACGAACGTAACAACCCCTTGCTACAGAGGTAACACTAAAAGCATCCTCAAAATTTCGTGCAGATTAGTATATTGAATAATGTAAGAGTTATTGTCACACCTTTTATATCTACTTTGATAAAGATCAGACTATATTTGCATATAAATAAATATAATGGATGTAGAGTATACAGGGTGACTGGTGAATTACTATCAATATTTAAGGAGAATACTCGGTACATGATTCTCATTCGAATTATGTAAAAAATAGGTACTTAATTTTTGACCAAATTTCCGTATAACTAAATAAAGGGTGGACACGTTCCAAGTGTGGACGCGTGCGGCGGCGTGATGATACAACACCACGCCGCGCCACGCGTGTTTGTGTGTCTGTGTATACCGAATCTGTAGGGTGTTCACACGATGCGTAATTAATTACATAACTTTTGGTTAACTTTACTTAGAAGTTTATTAATATTTATGTTATATTAATTTTTATTTTGTCATATATGATCGTCAAATATCACGTCCTCAAGTATCGATAGTAATTCACCAGTCACCCTGTATATTCTTTTAGATGAAAAGAAAAAATCTGCGGTAATTATTTAAAATAGTTGTATTGCCATTTGTTAAAACTTTAACTGATTGAACACATTTGATTGTGGAGCAAATAGCTCCAATATAATCTATTTTTCAAATGAAAATTAATATTATTCATTGTTACTTACATCAAATAACACTATTATTTATTTTATTTATTATAAAATAGTTACGTTAACCCAAAACTATTTTAGTATTAAAGCTGTCTGGACGTCTAACTGTGTAGGTTTTAGTATTCAGTACCCCTATCAAAAGTACTCTAAGGTTATTAGTTCAATATTCTTGTTTTACTTGAGCTGTCGCGACGGAGAGAAAGGTCCATGACCGACGCCCTGCGTTGTCATGGCAACGGGATTACCTATGTAATACACACAATAAGATGATAGACCCTTTCTGAAAACGTACCACAGTTATAACTTTCCCTTTTTGTTCAAAAAAAATATTCAATTAGTTTTTTGTAAGCCGTATGAACAAATACTTTATTGTGGACACATAAACATGTTTATTTTAATATTGTATACGAATAAATATAGTTCAAAAAAAAACTTGATTGTACATACATACGTTTGTTTATAATAATCGTTTACGCAAAACCACAGCGAACTCACGTCCCTCAAACCTTAATAAGAAATAATTACGTTACATTCATCCCATTTGTGTTTAAGGTATACTTATCCCTCATTTTAATGATATTCGGTATATAATAGGGTTTTCATATTGTTGTCTTTTCCTACGAACCTTTTCACGCTGTAAGTGTACGAGTAATCCTTTTTTAGTTATTAGTATCTAAAATTATATATAAATATTCCGTATTAATTAAAATCAGCAATATGTTAGTTCAAAGATGTAAATATTACCTCATACGTGTTATAAGTGATTCTTTGTTTTGCTACAAATACAATAAGAACAATAATTAATATAATTCTGTGTTGATATACATACGATCGACATTACCTCAATATACCTTTAATTAATTCTCTAAACATAGAATGTATAACAAGATTAAGTATTGAGAATTAATCGAACAACATGTGCTCGATGGAGCTTTCATGTTAAATACGTTATTATAACGCTGCTATAGAAATGTCTGAGTTCATTAAAATACGCCACGCGACGCTAGGCTCTGTTGTCTTACGCCGGCATTATCTAATTATCACTGAGCAAATGAAGCACGAATATCAAGCGCTTTCTCAAAGTTTATTACAAACATTGTTTGCTTTACACTTTGTATGCCATCACATAGGTTAAAACTTTAAAGTGTTCATTTAACGTCAGTAGTTTAAAATGATTTTACTTCCATAGTTATGCTGCTATGTTTGTAATATTTTAATAGTATTCTGAAATTCATTTGCTACACATTCAGTCTGCAGACTGCATAGATAGGATTGTGCACTCGCATATTAAACATAGCTTTATTGAATGTTATCCAGGCTTAAATTTAACCCTAGCTATCAGCTGATGGAGCGTAAATGGGTTCGCCGGATCCCCGCTCCGCTGCATCCATTGTCCTCTTCCGTTTAGCATTACATACATACGGACATTACGTCACCCGTATATAATATGATATTCATAATTTTTAAAGCCAGCCACCGCCCGCGGCGCTCCCCCTCGTTGACGTTTATGGTCTTCGGCTTTGGCATCCGATCCGGATAGATTTATAGTTTACATCCTGCACTGATATGAAACTTTGTCATGGTATATTTAAAGAATTTCGTAATACAACATGTACATAGCTCTTGACGTAACAGTGAACTGTTCAACTGAATAAGATAAACAAATAAGTAATAAGTTACAGTGATATGACATAGTCTGAACACGGTAATATTTTATTATTAAGTTGGAAGATAACAATATTCTGTTAGATCGTACATTATAATAGTTATTTATATATCATATCATAAATAGGGGTGACATTTAATCAAGTTACCCGTGAAAATGTCAAGGGTAATGCTTGCTAGGACGCGATGTTCACGCTGACGCATTCAATGTACTTTATCTGCTTGGATGTTCGTTACACAACTAATGTTGACTCAAGAAGGTTATCAATATAACAGTTTTGTTATTGTTAAATATTTAACGATAGTATCGTACGATATTCAATATAAAAATAAAACGTAATTGCGTCAGCTGTCATAACAAACAACATGTAGGTCGTTTATAAATAAGCAACTAAAACATACTCATGTTACAGGGAACTAAATTATGGATTATTATGGAATACCTCGGCGGGGGGTCGGCCTTGGATCTGATGAAGGCTGGCAGCTTCGAGGAGATGCATATAGCGGTTATACTAAGAGAAGTGTTGCGTGGCCTCGACTACTTGCACTCCGAGAGGAAACTGCATAGGGACATCAAAGCTGCGAACGTACTCCTCAGCGAAATGGGTGACGTCAAACTAGCTGATTTTGGTGAGTGCATCATATTGGAAATATTTATATTACACTAGAAGACCTGGCGCACTTCGTATCGCCCTATAATCAAGAAATATCTACTACGTTTTTTTATTCATATTTTTGGAGTTTACCTGTAAGCCATAAATCTCCGTGTTTTGAAGTGCGACAGAATGATTGACATTTTAGTTAGTTGTCATATCTAATGTCAAAAAAAACGTTTGTATGGGAAATAGAAAAGGGCTGTTTTATGGTTTTCCCAGTAATGAATCAATTTTTTTCAGCTTTTATACCTTCCCTGAACCTCTACGAACATTTCAAGACTAAGATAAGATTAATCCGTTCAGCTGTTCTCGAGTTTTAGCGAGACTAAGGAACAGCAATCCATTTTTATATATATAGAAGATATAAGACACATGATATGTGCAATGTGCATGCGAACTCGGGATCATGACTGCATGACATGTCACAAGCATGTAATTCACATGCATGCGTTAATCTACACGATCATGTAAATTTACGCAAGTTATTAATTGAGGTTAGACACTGCAGTGTCCTTTAGTGTCATGTTTTTTTGAGTACGTGTTCAGTCTCATTTGTTATTATCATTATGTTCAAGGTGTTTTATTGTAATTCATTTATATACTATTCACTGGAGAATACATTGTTATTATAAAACAATGATCTATTGACAAACTAAATTGTTTTATGGTGATTATTAGCCGTTAATTATACAATGTATTTAAGTGTCCTGTTTCCATATAACATTTTAATTTGATACCACAACTTTAGTACTTTGTTATTTTTATTTACTACTACATAGATTTGCCCGCGACTTAGTATGGCAATATTTAATTAAATTAAATTAACTACAGAAAGAAACTGTTGTCTATAGATATTGTCTATCATAACTCTTTTTTATTTTATTTTTTAACGAAAGGAATGCTTATTGGCTGTCGATCGTGCCTACATAGACCGGTAAAAGGTACATAGCGATAATGTCGTTTTGGCTAGGAGTTGAGTTCTCGAGTAAGCAAATATGGTTTTTCGCCTATGTGAGGAAAAGTCGAACATTTTCCGGGATGTAAAGTAGCCTATGTGTTATTCCTGGACGTCAGCTTCCTGTATACAAAATTTTATCAAAATCGGTTCAGCCGTTTTGAGCGTGAAGAAGTAACAAATATACACACACACTCACAAACTTTCGCAATTATAATATTAGTAGGATATGCACTATTATGTTTTGAATAGAAAAAAAAATCACGTGCAATCAAATCTATATTCTATTTTGATACACATAAAATCCTAATGAATTAAACATGAAATAATTTGTGTTCATAAATGTACTCCAAATTATTGAAATGTACACAATTTGGACTACAATTATACGTTATTTGACCACTGCTGGTTCAATTGCAGCATGAAACAAGTACACAGTATATATATATTAGTATCACAATCACAATAATGTTGTGCATTAATGTGATTACAAATGAATAGTTCGTGAAACGGTCATGTTAATAACAGATCGTGGCTCGGTTGAACACAGAGGCTGTGTATTAATTCAACACATAACTATTCATTGACTATCATTTCATCCAGAAAAACGTAGCATTTCAACTGGTATATATGTTACTTTTTATAATCATAAGGTATTTTCAAATTTAAAATTAAAGATAATCTTTGGTGATGAACAAATGAACATATTTAATAGAAGAATATGGAATACTAAAATGACTTTAAAAAAAACAAAAGTTAGAAATTGTACACATTTCGAACGGTCATTACGTATTCGAATTACGAAGAGATTCATTTTTAAATTATTTCACAAAAAATATTAAGATTATTTGAATAATTCATGGTTCGAAAAAACCTCGTATTTTTTTGAATCTGTACAGATATTGATTAATCTTTTGTCACGATAGCGTGTATGGTAAAGCAATTGGAACGCGATATTGAGGAGGTTGCAGGTTCAAATCCTGCTCGTGTTGATGAATTTTTCATTTATATTTTCTTATTTAAACTTATATATAATCTCAACATCTCTTTAACGTAAAAATATAATGACACGTACTCTTGTGTCACTGAAACCTGTTTGTTGGTGATGTAAAAACAAAACATTTTATAGGTATGACAAATTTCATTTTTTTTATTATTATTTAATTTGATGTCTGACATTTGCGAACCTTATTTTATTTATTTCATCATTCATTTTTTAAATAATATAAATTACGTGTTCAGGGTTTTAGATATTTCGTTAAAATATATCTCTCAAACAAACAAAATAAAATTTTAATAGTAGAGGGACCAAAATGATCAAAAATATGAAATCTGTTAAATACATATTAATAATATCTAAAATAGTTATAAGTTTAAGCCAACATAGTATAGAATCTCTGCGAGTGATGCCAACGAATAAATCTATGATCTGATACAGCTCTTGATAAAATTATTTCTGTATAGATTAACAACTACCTATTGCGAGTAAAGAAATTTTAACACAACTTGAAGATAATATACATAGGAATTCGTAAATAAGATAAATTTAATCCGTACTTATTTTTTCATACACTGAAATTATTTCGCGCAATAAATATTTTAAGCTAATCCGTTTTATTGATTATAATAAGTCGTTATCAATGATAAATGTAGCAAATGTCATACATAATACATCCTATGCGGAAGTTATTATGTTAGGGATTTAGATTTTCCTACGCACGATATATGTTACATTACAGGAAGCAAACCATATAAGTTATACTCAAACATGTCTATTTAGAACTAATGTCTTCATTACTATTATATTCCGGAATTTTTCTCAATATACGACAATTGAAATGAAAAGTACAATAAATTGTAAAGTATCAAGACATAAAGACAATCAACAATTAACTCTAATATGAAATGTGTTGAAGTTACATATTCGCTTTTACGAAGTTTTCTTTTTATATCATTTTGTTAATAACTGTTAAGTGAACCTTCGTCCCCCGGGTGAAGTTTGTTTCACCTGTGCTATGATCATAAATCATAATTATTCGGTACGATACACTTATACAATGACTTAAAGTATTTATAAATATTAGTGTCTGAAATATTATAAGAATTGTAGAAAGATAGATAGCTCTGTTGAATAGTACCTATACTTTATTATATGAAATTACTATTAATCTTCTATGTTTTTCAATATCTATATTCTTCAATACAAAGTATATTTGGTAATCGCGGATCGACTAATTCTATGGTTTTATAACTGAAAGAAACTTTTAAATTTCAATTCATTCATAATGAGTGTTAGTTCTTTTTTACAACAGAAATATATCGTAGAGTTTATATTTTAAGTATAATTTAATAATTAATTTAGAAAAATTAGATCGTAATTAGTCTAAAATAAGGATTTGACATTGCTAATATTTTGACTAAATGACATATATATTTTATTTCGTGTCCTTCACAAATTTAGCCTAATGACAATTACTAGTTTACACGAAATAAAATATCCGTTGCAGTAGGACTAGAAAACCAACGATTTGTAATAAATAAAATGTCTTTGTATATTAAATATTTCCAGAATATTCCTTGAACAATAGTGTAAATACTTTGTCTAAGCTGAAGTGAAATCCAATGCTCGGGTTGCTTTTACATCTTCATATCGGCTGGCTATCGGCCAATATTAATATTTATACCATTTGCACTCTCTTTATGTAACGCAAGAGTCAACAGTGAACGCTATCGAGTTTTCTCTCCTGTAAAATGTTGGATGTATATTTTCTGGGAGTTATTTTATTATGTCGAGTGCTCGAGGGGGGACGGAGAGTGCCGTCGAGTCTGAGTATGAAAAGTACGAACCGAAGTGGTCTTGTTCCTTAAAGAATATTACGAAATGTAACGCTTGTATCGTTCGTTTGTTATGAAGAGAGCAATTTTTTTTTGTTTTCTGTCGTACTTTCGGTCTATCCGTCGTTTAGCCCACCCTAAAATGGAGCCGCTATTATTTTAAACGTACAAGTAATGCACGATTTAGATGCTGCATGCATAATGTATGTATGTGACGTACTGACGTGAATCGACTACGGAGTTGCTTTTAAACGTTAAACACTTTTGACTCGTATATATCAAGATTAAGCTATTTCCCCCTCCGCGGGGAGCGGTATACTGGTGGTCTGAGAATATCTCAGACCTCCGGGTCGCCTGCAACGGGGCCAGGAGGGCATACACCCGGAGTAGGCGACGCCGCCCCCAGGACGAGGAGCGAGATGGTCGGCTGTACAGGATCTATGTGGAGAAGAAGTTGATCCTGCAGCAGGCCATCCGCCGGGCCAAGGAGGCAGCCTGGCTGGAGCTGGTGGAGGGTCTCGATCGAGACCCTTGGGGCCGACCGTACAAGCGGGCGCGGAACAAACTCTGCGCCCAGTCGGCCCCCATCACGGAGGTGCTCCAGCCGGCTGCTCTGAGGGGGATCGTCGGGGAACTCTTCCCCGACGCTCCAGCGGGATTTACTCCCCCCAGAATGGCCCGGCTGACGCTGGAAGAGGGCGACCGCGTTCCGCCCACCGTCACGGAGTCTGAAATGGAGGCGATTCTGGCTCGCCTCCAGAGTAAGAAGAGCGCACCGGGTCCGGATGGGGTGCACGGGAGAGTTCTCGCTCTCTCCCTGGTGCACCTCGGTGGAGCCCTCAAGGAGCTGTTCGACCTCTGTCTGAGGTCCGGGCAGTTCCCGAGGGCCTGGAAGGAAGGCCGGCTTTGCCTTCTTCCAAAAGGCAACCGGCCTCCGGACTCGGCTTCGGCGTGGCGACCGGTGGTTGTGCTGAACGAGGCGGGGAAGGCCCTGGAGAAAATAATGGCCACCCGTCTCGTTCGGCATCTGGAGGAAGGCTCGGGCCCGGGACTATCAGAGTTCCAGTTCGGGTTCCGAGCCCATCGGTCGACCGTCGATGCTCTCAAACGCCTGAGGGCGGTGACGGAAGAGGCGGAACGCAGAGGAGAGGTAGTGGTTGCGGTGTCGTTGGACATCGCAAACGCGTTTAACAGCCTCCCACACAGCGCGATACAGGTGGCACTCGAGTATTTCGGAGTGCCCCTGTATCTGAGGAGGCTGATAAACAGCTACCTCTCCCAGAGGAGGGTGGCAGTCGAGAGCCGGAGGGGGTCCATAGAGTGGTGGACAGTCGAAAACGGCGTGCCACAGGGGTCGGTCCTGGGACCGGTCCTGTGGAACGTCGGATACGACTGGGTCCTGCGGAGTCGTCTCCTCCCCGGGATGGGTGTCATCTGCTACGCCGATGACACCCTCGTCTTATCCCGGGGACGAAACTACAGGGAGGCGGCGCGGCTGGCCGAGGTCGGAACTGACCTCGTGATCAGCCGCATAGAGAGGTTGGGGCTTCGGGTGAGAATAGACAAAACCGAAGCCCTCCTCTTCCGCGGGGCTGGGCGGAAAGGACCCCCGCCGGGTGCCACCCTTCTCATAGGAGGAGGGAGGGTCAGGGTGAGTCCCACCATGAAATATCTGGGGCTCACTCTTGACGGAGGGTGGACCTTCGTGCCTCATTTCAAGGAACTGGGGCCGAAGGTCGTGAGGACGGCAGGTGCGCTGGGAAAATTCCTCCCGAACCTCGGAGGACCCAGCGCAGCTTGCAGGCGGCTATACTCTGGGGTCTGTCGGAGTATAGCCCTGTATGGTGCTCCCGTTTGGGCTGATCGCCCAATGAGCCGCAGGACCAAAGCCCTGCTGCGCTCTGCGCAAAGGGCTCCTGCGGTGAGGGTGATTAGGGGGTACCGTACGGTCTTCTGGGCCGCAGCGACTGCCCTTGCCGGCGATCCGCCTTGGGATCTCGTGGCGTCGGTTCGAGCCGAGTTGTTCTCCTATGTCTCGGGTAGGAGGGCACTCGGCGAGAACCCTTCGTCGGAGGAGATCCGAGCGGTTCGTCGGCAGGGGGAGGAGCGCCTTATGCGGGAGTGGGGGGAGGACCTGGCGGAGCAGCCGTACGGTAGACGTACAACGGCAGCGCTTCGCCCGGTCCTAGAGCGTTGGATGAGGCGGAAACGCAAACCCCTCACTTTCCGTCTGACGCAGGTCTTAACCGGGCACGGGTGCTTTGGTTACTACCTGTGTCGGACGGCCAGGAGAGAGCCGGGAGAAGGCTGCCATGAGTGCGGCGCTGCGGTGGACTCGGCCCAGCACACCCTCGAGGTGTGCCCGAGATGGGCTGCGCAGCGCCAAGACCTTGTGGCGGCTCTCGGCGGAGTGGACCTGTCGCTTTCGAGTGTCGTGGAGAAGATGCTCGAGAGTGATGGGTCCTGGTTGGCGGTGTCCTCCTTCTGTGAGACGGTCATGTCCACGAAGGAGGCATCTCAGCGGGAAAGGGAGAGGGCGGCTGATGCTCCCTCCCCCCGCAGGCGACGTACGGGGGTGCGACGGAGGCAATTCCTACGCCTCCAATAGCACCCCTGTGTTCCGGGCTGGGGTCGGCGTGGTAACCCGGCCCTTTTGAAAGCCCGGCGTCGTCGGGGTGGTCCTAATTGCCGGGATCGCCCCCATGCTCTGAGGGAGTAAGTCCGGTCTTTGCCAGGACCGGCCAGTCGCTGGTGTGCCCTGTCGCTGACAGATCCGGGGTACACCGACATAGCGGCCGATGGCTTTCGCAGTGGTTTTAGTGAGTAGGGGCCTGCCCAGGCCGAGCCTCACACATCCCTTCCGGCCCCACCAAGGTCGGTTGGACGGCTCGTAAAAAGAGTTTCCACTACGTCATCAAAAAAAAAAAAAAAAAAAAAGATTAAGCTATTTATTCCTAGAATTTGTGATTGGGGATATAGATAATGAAAACAGAAAGTTTTTTTACTGGCTTTGGTACGCGTGACTGTTAAATAGGTTATATTAATACGAATAGATTGTTATTATAAAATATTTAAAGCATCAAAATTATAGTATGATTCAGCATTAGAAATGACCTCGATTATTTAGTATGGATAAAAAAAAATTACTTCATATATGACTGATTTGATACTAGATTTTGTTAGGTATCTAAATATCAAATCAAGATTTACTGTTGTTCCGAAACAATACGATGTGATCGATTGAATTCTTCGTAGTGTGTAACATGCATTTTTTTTGTGTAATTTCAGGTGTCGCGGGCCAATTAACGAATACGACTAGCAAAAGGAACACGTTCGTCGGTACACCGTTCTGGATGGCACCTGAGGTCATAAAACAGTCGTGTTACGATAGCAAGGCTGACATCTGGTCGCTTGGCATCACAGCCATAGAACTGGCAAAGGGTGAACCTCCTAACTCGGAACTCCATCCCATGAGAGTACTCTTCCTCATACCTAAGAATAACCCCCCACAACTGACAGGCAGTTACTCGAAGCCATTCAAAGAGTTTGTAGAGGCCTGCTTGAATAAGGATCCCGAAAATGTAAGCTATATATAGACATAGTTTAATTACCTTGAAAGTTACAATTATATCTCTTCCTTCAAATATAATAAAAATCATAAATAAAACAAATATTTCCTATTTTGTTGTTGTTCTTGAGAAAAACACAATCATGACGCGACAGGTTTTATGTTACGAGACATTTTATTGAAGTAATTTTTTTAAAGCTTAATTTAAAATGAGTGTTATGTTTATAGCTCTGTTATCGTTGTGTGTAATACATATAATTTACAAATATTCATAAGTATGTAGTTTTTCCTGGCTGTTATTATCATGTTTTGTTTGAGCTTATAAATAAACAATCTTGTTATGTATATACATGCATCATAACTTGATTATCTCAGCCAGGAAAATGGAATGTCGTATATTTTTTAACAACAACAAATCGGACAAACTGCGCCATTTGTTTTCAAGTGTTACGTCGTTATTGTAACCGAATGACCTATTTTTCACTTAGATTATGTCTTACTGAGACTATATAAGACGAATTCTAACAATTTTAAATGGCCCTTTTTTCTTAATGGAACCTTAAGAAAAACATCCTTTAGTATGTAATAATATTAAAATATTTAATATTCTCGTTACAGAGACCAACGGCGAAGGAGTTACTAAAGTTCCAATTCATCAGGAAGGCCAAAAAGAATTCATATTTAATGGACCTCATAGACAGGTATAAGAAGTGGAAGGCGCAAAGGAGCGAAGAGAGCGAGACGGAATCTGAGAACTCTGACTCGTGAGTTAACGATAACTATTACTAACTATAATATAAAAAAAATGAGTTTATTTGTTTGGTTTAAATACATATATTAAAAATGTTTTGATGTTCCATTAACATAGACAAAGCGTTATACATAATGTCAATCAATTTACATCTCAAGACCACTTAATTATAGATTCCTATACCTTATACTGTTAGGTTTTGATTGTGACGAGTTTTGAAATGATATAATGTTTTTTTTTTGGTAAATTTTCTATGGTTATGAATAAATGGGGAAATATTTAAAGAACGTCGTAACTAGCGGTTTTCAGTTTTGTTCTACATACAAAAAATGCAGTTTGAAGTCCTCTTATGTCAGCTGACGCTGGATTTCTTTTCTAACACAATATGTTGTAACTTAATTCTGAGCTCAGTAAGGCACTTTAATGTCTCTTATCATATTAAACGTAATTACCAAAAGATTTTTTTGACAAAGCAAATTAAAGGAATTCAAATAATTCATAATGTGCTTAAAAAGGGTATTATGTATCTTGCTATACTCTATTTCTTTCGATTCCGTTTTCTACTACGTGAAACTATTACCAGTACATACCATTTGCAATAAGATTCTCTTGCAGTAGTGCATTAAGCAAAACTTTTTCAATTATTCTCCATATTTAAATTCTTTTCTTACATGTATATATGTAATATAAAATGCTCTTATCTCTGGTACTTTTTCCTAAGAATCATGTCATAACGATTTATTGACAAATAAATTATGATTGAGAGGGACTTTACCGTACAAGTAAGCTCCGATAGCAGCACTCTTAAGTTTTCTTCTACAGATTATTTATTCGTCACTTTATGACCTGGTTTTAGTTTGTTTCTTGTGGAATCAGTCAATTTATCGCACTTTTCTGTTATTAAACTTCCTTGATGTTGAATTTTAAGAAAATTTCACAATACGGAAGATCAAAAACTTGGGCACTCACATTTTATTAAATTTACAGTTTTTAACCTTTCAAATAGCTTACGTAATAATTTCTAACAATTATATATATTTTTTGTTAAACCAGAATACAAATATAATAATAACTAGAATTAGATATATTAGGTTGGGGAAAAAGAAATCCATTATTTTTACGTGAACTTCAAGACTTTATTTAACATGTTTTGCATTGTCCGATTTAGGTCAAATATGCACCATTTTGTTCTATAATTTTAAATTTGAAATTGTTTGATCGATAATTTACGAGATATCGATCACTACAGCCATCTACCGAAAAAATAATGGATTCCTTTTTCCCCAACCTATTATATAATCATATTTAAAGCTACAGCTTTTAAACAAGACGTTTCAAAAAAGACCCAAATCCTGTACAGTATTAGCAGTCAGATCATTATCCTTGTAATTGGTCAACTCACGCGATACGGTAATCACGATCGGATTGATTGTCGTGTTACATAATTAAGTTTATCATTTGTACCAAATCGTAAAGGACCAAGATTGGTTATATTAGGTAATTGATATTACGATTCTTTTAATTCGTGAGTTTTGATATCACACAATAAAATTAACATTGATATAAAATAATATTAATTATTCTATGGGTTGTAAGTTTTTTTTGGATTTGTATTTTCTATGAATGTATTTCGATATATTTTAAACGCGTATATAAGAATTCAATTCCATTAATGCAATATATTATATAGAATTCGAGGATACGTAAAGCTTAAAATTTATAGTTATTATAATTTCATATTATCTTTGTGTTGTTTTAATACGGTTGTAATAATGAAAGTAATAATAATCTTTCAGTGAGGAAGGTGGTCGAGGTGACGGAGAGGCAGATGAGCCTTGGATCATGACTGTGAGGGGAGGAGCCGCCGCGCGGGGACTACATGCACATACGGAAGATAGGAGGCGACAGGGAGATGATATTGGTAATATATATATAAAACTAGCTGCGCCCCGCGGTGTTACCACCGGATTTCCGGGATGTAAAGTAGCCTATATGTTATTCCTGGACGTCAGCTTCCTGTATACAAAATTTTATCAAAATCGCTTCAGCCGTTTGAGCGTGAAGAAGTAACAAACATACACACACACTCACAAAATTTTGAAATTATAATATTAGTAGGATAGTAATTTTTATATTTAACTAGCTGACTCGGATAATGTTGTTTTGTCATAAAAAAAATAGAGTTGTATGTATGTTTAATGCTACGTTATAAAAAAATAAAAAATTTGATCCAAAAATTTAAAAAAACTTAGGAGTGAACAACCCTTATGATTTAGGGGTATCAAAAATAGATAGTAGCGTATACTCAGACTTACAGAATACGCATATAAAATTTGTTAAATTCGGTAAAGCTATTTCGGAGGAGTACGGTAACTAACATTGTGATATGGATATTTTATATATTAGATATATTTGAAAAAATATATAAGAAGTAGTTGTTCACAAAGAACGAAATCCATTTGCTCACTCATACTATAATAGACTAGATAATTTCTTAGCGCTATAGTGGAAACTGTAGGAATAAATTTCGTATATCAATATATTTCACTGGCAAGTGTATAACGTATAACTCTTCATTATCAAGCATCAGACAGACTTAATATTAATCTTTTTCCCATCAATAATATAATATATTATGTTTCAGTGAGCTCTCCCACATCAGCCAACAAACAGAACGGTTCGGTTTCTCACGAGCCGGCGCACGACAACCACAAGATGGCGCCCACTATTAATAATAACACCAACGACAAGCACGCCGTGAGTTATATTCAAAAAGAATTTAATTGATTTCTTCTTCTTCTTCTACCTGGCAATATCCCGGCTATAACCAGGGTCTGCCTTACATGTTGTGAATAGTTTTGGCTAATTGTTTTTTACGCCCGACGGCCTGCCTGACATCAACCCTCTTTTTTGAATCAGCATTAATCAGTGATGTCTAAATATTCTTAGAAAGTACATATGATTCCGAAAAATCACATTGGTACTTGCCCGGGCTAGGATCGAACCCGCGCCCTCGGCGATGAGAGGCGGGCCCTCTAACCATTAGGCCACCACTTACGATTTAATATTTTCTATCTAAATAATACTAATTTTTTTAATAATTTTATTGTATAATTTCAGTCACGCCAATCTCCCATGGTGTCCCCGAGTGTCGAGAGGGCGAAAGAGCGAGATAGAGAACGAGAGAGAGAGAGGGAGAGGGAGAGAGAAAGAGAGAGGGAGAAGGACGAGCGGAAGGAGAGGGAGAGAGAACACAGAGAGTCTTCCAACAGAGACAGTGTAGTTTATAATAATAAGGCTGTGAGTATATATGCATTATAATGATTAAATGTATTTTTGATAGCTGTAATAAAAATGAAGCCGATTTGTCATGTCAAGTCGTTACTATATTCAAATATTTCTCTCAAGTGTATAATTTTTATAACATATTAGTTTAATACACGGCTGTTACTTAAATTTTGAACAATTCTTACTTGCTTTTTATCTCAGTAAATTTAAATGTATCAATCTAATAATTTAAAATAATATTTTCAGTCCTCACCGTTGGACCACAGAGGAACGAACAATGAAGAGAATAAAGTGAGGCGGCATGCGTACCTACAACAGCTGATATACCCACTACTGAATGAGGTTAGTGGAGATAGTAAACAATTATATAAGGCAGTCTATATTATGGTGTACGGCCATAAAGATTTATATGAGAGCAAAATCCATCTGTAGGCAAAGGTAAGGACTTGTAAAATAAATATCGTAATGATTTCAATAAATGGTGTCTGTGAAGAAAACTGAAATATCTTTTAGGAAAATCAGTATGAATCAGTCCAGTCTCTGAGAGTAATTTTTTATATTCCTATCTCTTTCCCACATTCCTAAACATTGTCATATCTCTCTTTCACTTCCAAATATTCTATCTCTTTACCATTTTATTCAATGCTACTAAATCCCTCTCCTTATCTTTTATCTTCTATCTCTTTCCCACTTGGCTGAACACTGCTATATCCTCTAATTCATAATATATCTGTCTCTGTCTTCAGTTGTCTCGTAAACACGGCTCGAGCAGCGCGGCCGCTGTGGAGGAGCTCCGGCGGGCTTTTGAGAGCGCCGAGCGAGCCGCTCCACACCTCACTAGAGCGTTCGTACAACAGGTTGGTAGACGGGTCTGTGGGGCCTGTTTATATAGAAACTAACATTACATTAGGGACTGTAGGATCCCTGGTCCTACATGTAAGTATAACTAGTCACTGTCTCACTACTACCCCGCCTAGAGCGACGCACGTCCCCGTTCTGCTCCGCGCTAGTCATTAGACTGCCGAGCGCGTGCCGCCTCGCCCAGTGGGGTACGTGAGACAGTGTACTATATCTATTGTATAGATACACTACAGGGACATTATTGCTTATGCATAGATATGCTGATGTTTAAATGAAACTAATATTTCTCGGATGTACTAAACGATTTTATTTATGATAAAAAACTGCACACTCCCGACGTTTCGGCTACTTTACAGCAACCGTGATCACGGGCAGACGAGATGTGAGTCATCACATGTAGTTTTTTATCAAAAATAAAATCGTTTAGTACATCCGAAAAATATTAGTTTCATTTAAATGAATAAGACCCGCGAAAATATTAGATCTCATTAGATGCTTATATGTTTATTGAATTCAACATATTTAAATAAACGACTATTTAAAGCTGACAAAGTATAGATTGTTGCCGTTTTGGGAATTAATATCAAATAAATGTTTCTTACAGGTCGTACAGAGGGTAGCAACACAGTCGCACGCGCCGCCCGCACACGGTTCGCAGTGGATGAGGTAGGTACGGACAAACTATACAATATACATATTATCTATTCTATCTTTATATATATAATTCTTCTGTGAGTGTGTATGTCGCTGAACTTCTCTCAAACGACTGGACCGATTTTGATGAAATTTTGTGTGTGTTCAAGGGGATCTGGGAATAGTTTAGATTCACAATTTTGTCCGCTGGACAATGTTTTTTTTACTTAATTTTTAATTCATTAGTAGTTGTTGATACAAATGTTTTTTTTGACATTAGATTTGACAACTAACTAATATGTCAATCATTCTGTCGCACTTCAAAACACGGAGATCTATGGCTTTAATAGGTAAACTCCAAAAATATAAATAAAAAAACGTAACAGATATTTCTTGATTATGGGTGATACGAAGTTCGCCGGGTCTTCTAGTTGATATAAAAATATGTCCGTCATAAAAGTTTCAATATTAATATAATATTTTCTTGTTTCAGGGATCTATAATATCCGTGAGCACTCATCGCGACAGTCGCCTCACGTGAATGTATCATTCGACTACATCTTTACACCGCTCACGACTTATCGTGAGCTATATTAATAAGCGCTTTAACGTATTACGGCGCTATGGGAGCGCTTATGCAACTATTCCTGCGCTTGCGTCGTATGACGTCACCGACCAATCAGGACTGCCTTCATACACGTTTGATCCTATATTTTGTTACCCTAATAGCGTCTAGTTTATAATTATATACTAAATACTAAATTAGTGATTGGATGTAACTGTCTAAAGTGTGGAATGAGAATCGGTTATTATTTTTGTATAACTCAAGTATTTAATATGTCGCTAGTGATGTGTCATGATTATATTTTTTTTTATATATTAATTCCGCTCGTCGCTTCACCGCCTTACTCCGCTCGATATAATATATTTTACATTGAAATAATCACTAGCTATATATTATCCAAATTATAGATTCAATATATAGTGTTCGCGGAACGTCTGGGCTTATATATTTTTTGTGTTGTATTAGCGATCTAACGAGTAACAGATATTAAATCCTATGTATAGCGCAATGTAACCGTCGCACTTCGATTCTAAACAGTATGTTAAGCTATTTGTATTAAATCGAACAATTCTATCCATAATCCGTCTTCTAGTGACCTTATACAGCAATATTTCTTAACGTTTGTCTTGTTTTAATGAAACCAACTAATGTATGTAGAGTCAGCTGATTGTGTGTTCGTTTTAGAAACATTATTTAGAATTTTTTAATTTATAAATATTAGTGGAGGGATGATACACTTCGCCAATATTTTGCCATAATTTTGTTCTAAAGTTTGTTTTTTATATATATGTAATACTAACAAGTTTCGTATAGAGGTCCGGTGCCTTCGAAATTCTAACGTATTTATGTATTTAGATGTATCTTTTGGTAGTTGTTCGTAGTGTCCATTCCAGACAAAAGACGACATTGTCAGCATTTATAGATTTATTTGTTTTTTTTTTTTTGTGTCAAAATCATACTTTTTCTTATTTTATTCAACAGCACTGTGTTCGCTGGATCATAAGTGTTAAATTTTTTTTAGTTTAGTGTTCGAGTAGGTTTTAGTTTCGGTTAAATCTGTGACTAATGTTCTAAAAAATTATACATTAAATCTTATATTTGTTGCAAAGTTTTTATTATAATTTTATTTTTTTCGTTGGTATAATATCGTGGCGTTTCGATGTTAACCTTAGTATTCATGTGAATTGTAAAGTATTGTACCGAGAACGCTGTGAACATGCTTAATATGGGACAATATTTAGCAATCGGAACTATATAGATTATATTATAACGAAGACTACAAGAAACAATTATTATTGCTGTGTAAAATAAAAAAAATATGTAAACCTATTATAAATGTGTAAATTGTGTAGTATAATATAAAGAAAGCTGTTTTATGAAGTGTTCTTATAAGCGTTTGGAGGTTGAACGGGGGAGGGGGAGGAGGGCGTCATGATACAGAATATATTTTACGTATAAGTTATATTTCATACTTAGTCTGCATTCTCACTGGAATTTTAAGAGGGAGCGATGAAAAAGGAATATCATTTCAATAGCTACCTTGTTTTCTCCCATGTGTACACAACCTTATATCCAGGAATCACTCGCTATGTATCTGTCAGTGGTGTAACGTCCTCCCCCGCCTTCTTCTTGAACGCCTCGTATTTTTGTTTTGCCATGTCCTCATGGGTGTTGATTTGGTTATGATGGAGAAACAAAAAAATATTTTTCCACTTGATGGTATTATATTATAATGAGTGTAGTGTTAGAGTTGGGCGATAATTGTTGATTATTGATTAAAATTAGGTGTTTTCGGCGTTGGAACGTAGTGGGGATCGATCAGGGACTGTTGGTTTGGAAGTCGATTGACCAGCCAGCTTGACCCGCCGATTGTAGTTGTTACCTACGTAATTCGCAGTTTGTTCGGGATCGTGTCGTCTGGTTCATGGGTATTGTGATCATAATTTCATAGTTAATACATTAAAATATTATAATATATATAATATATCGGTATAGATGCCGTACGTACAGCGTAGTGTGGTGAGAACACGGTCGTCCCGTCGTCATGAGGCAACGCTTTATTGAGTTACTGTGATATAAATATACGGTGAATCGTCTTGGATGTTAACGATAACGGAGTGCGAGGTCTGTTTAAACTACACGACACGACCACGACACGACGACGACGCCGGGACGACTTGTGTACGATATAACGCACTCATGCACCAAGTCGAAGTAACAGCGACCCGTACCATAAGTGTGTAATGGTCATTTAATGTTACGGCGTCATTCTAACACTTATGTAGGAAACAAATTTGACTCTGAAATAAAAGAAGTTATTTAATTTTGGATCGTTGGAGTTTTATTTTATTGAACCCCTCTTCAAGTTTTGAAATGACAATTTTAAGCTCTTTTTCTGTAGTTCAGAAAAACTCTTTCCGAGTGTCTCTAAGGAGATAAATAAAACAAAGAGTAAATTAGTTTTCAGTTTTATTGACTAGGTTACAATTATACTCAGATCACCTACATGTATAAATATACAAATGTATAAAAAGCTACGGGTATACAGTAGTATATTTATGATAAATTAATGGCGTTCATTTAGATATATATGAATAATATAATAATAATTATAATATGATTATCAGAGAATGAATTACGAGATTCTATAGTATGCATAATATAAGCCAATCTTAACACATATTTTCTACTTAAATAATAATAATTTAAAATAACATTTGAGCATAAAATTATGCTACAAAAATCCTAACTTAGAGAATTAAACTAAACAAGAAAATCAATGTGATGTAATTAGTCGCAACAGACGAAAATATTTTATATTATGTACGTAAAATATAGTACGAGAAATGGGTTAACAAACTTAAACATAGACTATTTACAATAACGTTATCAAGTACAATGCAGTCGTCATAGCCTAATTTATACAAATATCTAAAGTATACAATACTTTTATATCGGGAAGACGATGTTGTATGGACGTCTTAAATCATAACGCATTTTTCAATACGTTCCTTTATATATTATTCCTTAAAGTATAACAAAAGTAATAAGTTTAAGTGGTTATTAGTCACAACAAGCCTAGAACAAACTTAATTTTGTACATAATCAAAGTTTGGATTGTAGAATGGGATGATGACGATGTAATAAAATTTGTTAAGCAAACTTGAATTATAAATTTTTTCAAGTGACTGGCAGCTGAATAAATAATAACCACGGGTATTTTTACTTTGAATCATTATTGAAGTCGTAAATTTTTTTAATCGAAATAATTTTTGAATTAAAGCAATGTTATTTACAAAATAGGGTACATTACAATACACAAACTTAAATTCAATTTCTTAAGAAGAGATGGTGCAGAAGTCTCTTTTTATCTCGTGTATTATTTGTAAACAATTTTTTTTATTAAAGTATAATATATGTATGTATATCGGCAGTACTTTCTGAGTAGGGACAAAAACCCGTTAGCCCAGAGTTCCGTTTGAAATCCGCCCACAGATTATGCATCACGCCTACATCGAATTCGTAAAAATATCCTACTTTCCAGGTACTTTCACTTTAACCAAGATCTGTATCGTTTGACTCATTCTAATTTTCACACACCATCTAACTGAATAAAGCTTAAAAATCATTTTTGTGAAACATTATTTATCACTCTATTAAAATAAAATGAAAATTTTATAATTGTTCTGATGTTGTAAGAGATCACTAATTTCAAAAATTTATTTGTATTTATTACATATTAATTCAAATGCACGATTTGTTAATCAAAATCTCTGCAGTCAAAGCAAACAGCTAACAGATAAATGACGTCTTTCATTAACGTATTCTTAACATTTCTATTGAATATATAGTAACTACCTTTATATTAAACATTTCCTACACAAGCCAGGTGACAAATCTAAGGTCACCATACTTTAACAAACCCCATGCGTCAACGCGAGATTTCATTACGAGATTAGTAATCGTAAACATACGATAACGATTGAGTCATCAGTGTATAAGTTACACCTATTACTTAATAATCTTAAATATCACAGAGGCATTACATATAACGCGCTATTACTAAGAGTATAATACATAGTTACATTTGCGACGACACCGGACGAGTGCAATTTCTTCATCATACCGTGTTGATCACAGGCAGTGTTGGAATGGGTAGCGGAACGGGACAGAATGGCTACTTGTAGCGATCCCCGTATGTAACGACCCATGGCGAGATGATTCAGGTAACACCTAAGGAAAAAAAACAAATAAATCAAATGCCACATGAGTCATTTAGGATATTCGTGACGCAGAGTGTTGAGTCAGACACCTCGCGGTTACAACCCGAATACCTATCGATGAGCAGCTGCCGTTTTTGACGTGTATTTATTTAAATAAAATTAAATAACACGATAAACACCCCGATAACGAACAAAAGAAGTCAGTGTTTTATTATGAATGAGAATCGAAATACTGTTAGAATGATTAACATATTGCTTATATATGTTGAATTCAGAGTTCGTGTGTGTCTAAAAGACCTAAATTAGTAGTAATTGAATCGATAACGGATGTTGCAGATTCGTAATTGCTGATTACGTAATATCCATGAATTGCTAACTGTATTTTGTGTATGAACATCTTGCGCGCGGAATTAACGGTTTTTCTCTGATTAATACGGAATTATTTATTTTACATACGTTTGAATTTGTTTCGTAGTAATCTGTTTTTTTTTTATTACACACTAAA